AATGGAAGGTAGCTCGTGTCCTGCCTATTCTCGTACCTGGAAAGTCAACTCTTGATATTAATTCCTATCGACCAATCGCACATCAAGCTGCATTGGAAAGATAATTGAAAAAATGGTGCTTAAGCGGATCAAATGGGACCTTGAGAACAAAGGCCTATATCCACCCCAAATGTCCGGATTCCGCCGCGGAAAACGCAGCATAGACAATGTACTAAGTTTGGTTCCTAGTATCGAAGAGATGAAAATGCAGAAAAAGAAAACAACCGCTCTTATGATTGACATCAAAGCGGCATCTGATGCAGTGGAACACAATGCGATGCTCCTTGACATAATAAACATGGGATTTGAATGACCTGCAGTCACGTGGATATCAAACTACCTTAAGGAAGAAAAATTTACATTATAACACAAGACGGTGACACAGGACACCATGAAGTAAAACGAGGGGTGCCCTAAGGGGGTGTTCTTAGTCCAAGTCTTTTTAATATATATGGCTCATTGGTCTTCTCAAACTTCTTCCAGACACAGTACATATATCTTGATATGCTGATGACGTTTGTCTTTGGGTATCGAGCAAGTTTTTATGCATAAATCGGGCACAACTACAGAAAGCTATTAACATTGTCATAAGATATCTCAAGCCTCGTGGGCTACATATATCTCCCATAAAGTCAGCCGCTGTCGCCTTTACAAAAAGGACACCAGCAAATATCCCATATATGTGGAAGGAACACCGATACCCTATGTTCCTCAATACACCTTATTAGGTGTAACTGTAGACTGATATCTTACTTGGGTCCCTGATTTAAACGACTCAAAAATAAATTAAAATCTTTCACTCAAATAATTCGAATGATAAGCGGAAGAAGGTCGGGTTGTTCCGTCTCAGCAACGATGACCCTCTATAACTCTTTTTGTAGGACTCTTACAATACACCTCACCTGTTATGAACGGAGTCTCAAAGACAGTCATGACAATCTTGAAAGTGCCCAGGCACAAGCACTGCGCTCTTGTTTGGGCCCACCCAAATGCACATCGAAAAACGGCAGACTCGCTGAGGCTAGGGCACTTCCACTTTCAGCCTTAAGAACTCAAAAAAAAATCAGAACTCACCTTCGACATGTCACTCACTATACAGATTACCCCCTTAAGGATATTGTTGAATGTAAACCTTCCTCTAGATTCTCCAAAATCATTACGCTCCTGAATGACTATCTCTCCAATTTATTTGCGGGTGCACAGAATCCGACACTTCCGCCTTGGATGTATCCCCCATTGGAAATTATAGCGAACATTCCAGGTTGAAAGCAGAGACATCAATCGTCGTGGTTACACAAATAGCCTTAGAATATATATATCGAACCTATTCACTCTATGTGCATATTTATATGGACGGGTCTACCACCCTAACCTCCACATCTATCGGTATATATATTCGAACAACCAAAACAACTATTAAAACAAAACTAAGTCATATGACGTCCTCGACTGCTGCAGAGCTCGTGGCGACCGGAACAGCCCTGCAGCATATTATTTTCCAAAATACACACCAATCGGTTATATTCGTCGACTCTAAGTCTGCTCTTCTAGCTCTTTCTTCACTCCGTAAACAAAGTTCAAACAGACAACTTATTCACGCAATCCTGAAGATCCACCAAAATGCTTTGGTTAAGGGGCACAATATAGTTCTCTAGTGGGTGACAGGGCATTGCGGGATCACTGGAAATATTTCTCCAGACAACGCAGCCAGAGACGCTCATTCCATTTTTAAGAACTGATTCCAACACCGTCACTCGAACAATCGACAGGGAAATAACATCGTCGTTATGGACAGACCCACATTATTACTAGAAATACCTAAAACACATTGACCCCAAATTAGAATTTTTCATGCCACGAGGCCTCTCAAGAGCTCAAGAGACAACACTTCATCGACTGCGTCTCAACGTCGCATATACGAAGAAATACCTTCATCTTATTGGCAAGGAAGAATCATCCATATGCTCTTCATGTTCTTCACCCGAACACAGTTACCATCTATTGTGTATATGTAAGAAATACGATTCTGAAAGAAAGACGTTGAAAATACAGCTAGGACTAGGACCAAATGAAAAGCTTGAACTGCACCACCTTCTTGGCCGTGGTCAACGTAGACGGACATAAGGCCACGAAAGCACTAATTCATTTTCTCTCTCATACTCGATTATTCAAGCTGCTATAGAAGTTGGTTTAATAATGTAAATTCGTATTATTTTATATAATTTTTTAAACCTTTTTTTTCTCTCTTTTTTTTCTCTCCTTTCTTGTCCCCAACCCTACACTCCTCTCCTTTATAAAGTAGCAAATCACCTTTAAAGCAGGTAGACCTCTTCGTGACTGTAAATAAACAATTATTCTCTCTCTCTCAAAAGATTCCACATCGGACCCACCAGGATGCTGCCTACGACGGATGTGAAGACGGTGAATGGAGGAGCACGAGCCCTTAGTTGATTATTGTCGTTGCCTGGCGTGGCCACGTTTAAAAGAACTTGTTGGGCTAGTTGGTGTTGACTGAATTGAACCATGGTTAAAAGCGCTAAAAAAAGACGTACACAAAAAAGAAGACAAACACGGGCACTTTGTCTTTTATCTTGTGTACGTCTTTTTTTAGCGCTTTTAACCATGGCCACATTTGTTTTTATTCAGCAGTGCCTCGAGCCAGAGACATATCGGTGTCGCAGGTCCCATCATCATACACACCACGGCAGCATCGGTTCTGTCCGGAAGTGCCAACGGCAATCCGAAGATCAAGTAAGGCGCGAGTTTCACCATCTGCGGAAACTTGACGCTCGGTGACCCAGAATGAATCCATCCCAACACGTCCCAAGCAGTTCCGACGCGTTTTAGAGCGCAGCTCTTAGGGGCCCGTTTCCGGCTTGAGCGGCGTCGGTGTCGCCGTCGCCGTCGGCGTAACCGCGCTGTGCATTATAAGTAAATTTGCCCGCTAAATCTAGCGGAAAAATTTCCCTGCTAGATTTAGCGGAAAAATTTCTCCGCTAAATCTAGCGTAAAAATTTTGCCCGCTAAATCTAGCGGGAAAAATTCCCCGCTAAACGTAGCGGGAAAATTTCCCCGTTAAACCTAGCGGAAAAATTTGTCCGCTAATTCTAGCGGAAATATCTAGCGGGAAGATTTCCCCGCTAAATCTAGCGGAAAAAGTTCCCCGCTAAATCTAGCGAAAAATATTCCCCGCTAAATCTAACGAAAAAATTCCCCGCTAAATCTAGCGGAAAAATTTCCCCCGCTAAATCTAGCGGGAAAAATTCCCCGCTAAACGTAGCGGGAAAATTTCCCCGTTAAACCTAGCGGAAAAATTTCTCCGCTAATTCTAGCGGAAATATCTAGCGGGAAGATTTCCCCGCTAAATCTAGCGGAAAAATTTCCCCGCTAAATCTAGCGAAAAATATTCCCCGCTAAATCTAACGAAAAAATTTCCCCGCTAAATCTAGCGGAAAAATTTTCCCCGCTAGATTTAGCGGAAAAAATTCCTTGGTAAATGTAGCGGGAAAAATTCCCCGCTAAATGTAGGGGAAAAATTTCTCCGCTAAGTCTAGCGGGAAAAATTCCCCGCTAAATCTAGCGGAAAAATTTCCCCGCTAAATCTAGCGAATAATATACCCCGCTAAATCTAGCGGAAAATTTCCCCGCTAAATCTAGCGGAAAAATTTCCCCGCTAAATCTAGCGGAAAAATTTCTGCGCTAAATCTAGCGGAAAAATTTCCCCGCTAGATTTAGCGGAAAAATTTCCGCGCTAAATAGCGGAAAAAGTTTCCCCGCTAGATTTAGCGGAAAAAATTCTCCGCTAAATCTAGCGGAAAAATTTCCCCGCTAGATTTAGCGGAAAAATTTTCCCGTTAAACCTAGCGGAAAAATTTCCCCGCTAAATCTAGCGGAAAAAATTCCCCGCTAAATCTAGCGGAAAACTTTTTCTGGGGGTCACGTGACCCCCCAAGGTCACATGACCCCCCCCCCCCGCCCCGAGAACAGGTAACCCTCAGTACCCTTCCCTCCTCCTCCTCAAGAGCTGCGCTCCAATTCGGTGTTACAGGGAGTTGTAAACGGCTTTCATTTTTTTTCTCAATTTTACAGCGAAGCTGTTATGTGCTAGGATCTGGAAAAAATGCCTTCATATACGTTAACAAAAAACTTCCGTTTTAACGGCGCCCCTTTCTTCCGATCGGTCGTGGCAAATATAAATAAAAGAGGGGGCAACCCGCGTGAGTCAGCCTTCATTGTCATTATTAGATAGCAAAGTCTTGATCCCTTGTTATCATCTACAGTCACCGACTTATCTTAGATAAGAGTGTGTTGTGACCAGGCTGAGGGCAGAACGCCGCCGATCTAGTCTTCTTTTCTTTCCGTTCCGCGATGCTGAAAAAGAGACTTGAGTTCAATGGAAAGAAAAAAGTGGAAGCTGTTTACAACTCCCTGTAACGCCGAATTAGAGCGCAGCTCTCTTCGAGGAGTAGGGAAGGGTACGGGGGGGGGGGGGGGGGGAGGCATTTCCACCGACAGGTAGCGTAGTGGAGTGAGCTACGCGAGAGGCGCTCGACGCTAATAAAGGCCGGAGCAGCGTCATTGGCAGGAGCATTTTACGTCGAAGCACGTTGCGATAAATCTAAATAAATGACTACGTGTTCTAGAACTAGTGCATCGTGTCAGTTTCCGAGGCGGACGGGGCATAGGAAGTCCTGCAAGTTTAAATGACGTAACTGCCCTGTTAAAAAGAAAAAAAAAAGACTGACTTTGACAAGATTAACAAAACAAATTGTGGGAGTAAATTTTGTACGCCATTAAGGTAACTTGACGAATTATCCACGAATAATAACGGAATAACGGTCAAAATCATGCACCCGAGATTTCAACACCTTTGGTTTCAAAAGGCGTAAATACGTCACAATAATAATAATAGAAATACAAGAGAAAGAGTACTTAAAATTGATTTTTCTCCTATAGCTTACAGTTAACGCAGTTACTCCAACAAGCGTAAGTATAAGGTCAGGGCACGTGAAGTTCCAAAAATAAGCCTCCACCTGGAACAAAGATAAGGATTGAAAGTATCAAACTTCAAATTTAATGCATAAAAGCACTCGAAATTACTTCCTAAAAAAAAAAAAAAACCTAGAAAGAAAAACTTTTTTTTTTCATGGCCATATTTTTTTATCGACCACCGCAGGAGAACCCTAGTAAAAAAAATCATTTGTATGAGAAATTTCTTGTGTCCAATAAACACATATGAATCATACAAGATATATAAGAACATATAAGAACATATAAGAACCATATAAGAAATATATGAGAACCATATAAGAATTATATAAGATATATAAGAACCATATAAGAAACTTATAAGAAACTTCCCACTAGTTTCTTATATGGTGCTTCTATGTTCTCATATATCTTATATAGTTCTTATATAGCTCTTATATGGTTCTTATACGGTTCTTATATGTTCTTATACATCTTGTATGATTCATATGTGTTTATTGGACACAGAAATTTCTCATACAAATGAGAATTTTCAATAGGGAATTGCGATCTATGTGTCATGTTCGTTCAAAAGAACGTATAGGATAAACCAGACGGCTCGGGTGAGCATACGGAATGACTTTAGTTTATGGTCTCTGCCTGTTGTGTAGCGAAAAGCAAGCTGAGTTCTATCAGACCATGTCTGATCCACATCTTATCAGATGGGAAAAGAAGCTGGAAGGGGCAGCAAGGAATTGGGTGTCACATGTGCTTTACTTTACAAATACGACACACGAAATTACTCCCATTTCCAGATATTGTGGTTCGACAATGCTTAGTCATTGCAGTTTTACACCCATTGGCACGAGGTGTTAGTCAGGCGCAAGTTCGAGTATTTAGAAACTTGCCCGGCGCGCACAGCAATTTAGAATGAATTTATGGGTACTGCAAGATAACACTTCCATTTACATACTCTACACAAGACATTCAAGTTTATTATTTTTCTTCGTATCAGTCGCGACATTGACATTGACTCGTCCAAATATTTAGACGTCAAGGCATACCTACATTGTTAACAAGTGTTTCGAGGTAGGGCCGGCACTGGGACACATTCTCTTGGTGTATTGCCGCGTAGCCTGCATCCAGAACTAGATATATTTCGAGGTGAATGGTACCAACTGGAAATATAATTTTTCAGAAGACAGTTTAAACAAAAAGGTGTTGTAAACACTTGTATGAAAATATTCAATGAAATACATCAAGACAATGCCAAAATGAATCGGATTTAACATTTGAAGCACGAAATCAGACTTAATTATGATTGGTATTTACAAAAGGGAGTCTCAAAGTGGTATTTATGTCTTCAAAAGGATTCCTCCTTACTCAGAACGTAATAGTTTAAGCTATTTAACAGAGAATAGTTTTTAGAATACCACAGTATTTAGAGGATAAACGTCGCTGTAATAATTTCTGCTTATTGCAGATGAGGTATGTGAGTATTTATTTGCGCTCCTTAGCGCAGGCGCATAAGAGAGGCATGCAGCAAGTATAATAAATGCCTGTGACGCCCGTCTAGGGGGGTGATGGTGATTAGGAGATCACATGTAGAAGGGAAGGACGATGCGATCTTCTGAGAACAGCAAACACCGTTGCCTTAGTCTCGAAGGCTCGGGAAAAGTGAGTGCAAGTCAGCCAGCGAGTCCAGGCATAGGCTGTCGTATACCGATACAGAGAAGAAGAGAAAGCGCACACCGAGGCTGGGGTTTACTAAAACTGGGAAGTGTGCCGACTGCGTCGTCCTCTCTGTAGGAACTGCGTGTCGTGTGGCCCGATTCCGCCACAGGGGCCGGGCGCGGCGCTGCCAGTCACAGCGGGTCCAGGAGGCCGATCAGCCAGCGTTTAGCAACGCTGGCTTGGAGCGTGTTTGTGTTGCTGTTTCTTCTCGTTTTGTGTCGTGTGTAAAGCGATACAATATTGTATGGCTGATAACTGTGCCGAAGAGACAAGGGATTCACAACGATGTCAAATGCGGCGAACAAAAAAACGGAGCTATGATGTTTTGTGCCCGGGTGAGCATCCAAAGAGAAAGACTCCTTGTTTGCGATGCCAAGCGGCACTTTCTGTTCGTGGAATTAAATCGTCTGATTCCAGAAAAAGTACAAAACTGATGCAGGAAATGAAAAACTCTAAGATGAATGTGTGACTGGCATGACGTGAAAGACAACACAAATTTCTGTAACTGAGATGCTTTTCAATAAAAATAGAAGTTGAACTCGCACCATTTATTTTGCCAGTATTGGTGTTTATTTTCATATGATGCATGCTTACTAGATAAAATAAATTTAGACATTTTATAGTGTATAAGCTTTGGCTGATAATGCAGAAGGGAAGAATAGCTCGCGTTCATTTTTTTATGGTGCATACGAACACTGGAACCGAAACTAGGTTTTTAAAGGTATGCAATATGTACCTCTTCCGAGAAGCTAATTTAAGAAAACTACTCAGTAAAGCGGAGAGGAAGGCATCACATATCATATTACTGAAAATACGATTTCTTGAAAAACACACACACACACAAAACGCCTGTAGTCAGCGCACAGCTTTTGTAACGGCAAAGACCCGAAACATGGTTTTCACACCCGACGAGAAAAGAAGCGGTAGCCCGAGGACCGGGAGGAGCACTAGCGGACATTTCATCGCTCGGGACAAGTGTGTTTCGTCGTCTCGGCTCAGCGGGGCGCCCGTATTCATTGTTTGCCGCTCTACCTTTTCATTTCGGCGGCCGCGTCTCGTGGCGATCTTGCCAGGCTTTGCCACCATACAGGAGGCTATGCTACTGAAGACACCAGCACATGCTGCGTGTGTAACTACACTCATAGCATGTACATTTCTGCTTCGAAAATTTAGCAAAAGATCTACTGGGACGCTGTCTGCTTCTGCGTGCGATAACTCCTCGAGTTATTACAATAAACCCTAGAGGCTCAGCTGCCGTAAGTGTCAATGGGACCTCCGTGGCAAATTGAAGCAGACAGCAACCAGTCGACTTTCCAGAATTCAAATGTAGTATTATTGGAAAACGTACGTACTCTTTTTTCGTTTCCCGGCAATGAAACAAATCAGCGTAGTTTATTTACTCGTGACGGGTACTATTTAGCTTTATTCATACTATAAAAGTATAATTTATTCAGTTAATACTTCTTTTTATTACTCAGCGAAGTATAAGTTAGGAAAAATTGAGACCCAGGCCTATATTGTACAGCAGGATGTGACAATGCAAGATATCCATAAATGACAATCGTATTTAATTCAGAGCAAAGACACTCGGCCACTGCTTTATTTCCATTATTCATGCACAGTGTGTTCTAATTCAGTACGTGTTCTTCGTTCCCTAACTCCATTCTTCGTTCTTATCGTCCACTTTGATTGTTTGATTTGGCATATAAGAGCATATTTCTTGTGTTTTGTCCGCACTGGATAAATTGCTCATCTACGGTGGGTAATCATGTTGCCATGTACTGACAGACTAATCTCCTGCTGTATAAGCTACTAACAACTAATTTGTTTGTTTTTTGTGCTATTTATAGCTGATTCACTCTGTGTGCGTCATATCATTAACTATACGCTTACATGCGTGCCCTAAAATAACACTTTGCTACGCCAACACGTATTATACCAGTGTATTGGGATATTTTAGCGCAGTGTTCGACGCCATCGATTCTAAAGAAAAACTCTCTGACATATTTTTGTACATCCGATTGCAAAATGTTTCAAGCTTTTATTCTGCCACAACACTAAGCAATATGTGCTCTTATAATCGCGTGGGAAGAGAAAAAGTATTTGCGTTTTCCCACGAGAATGCTTTTCCAAAAGTCAAAATTAGGCTGATTGGTGCCTGATTCAAAATGCAACACCACACTAGCGCCACCTGCATCTCTAGTGTTAACTGTTAATAAGTTTATGCTAGCAATACCCTGCCAATTGAGTCAAGGGAATCCACTTTAGTATTCCAACGACGTTGCCATGGCGACAATTACCGCGTTCATTTAGGCATGGGTATAACCAGAATCGAAAGGCTATAAAAAAAAATGCGGTGAGGTGATTGCTCATGCTTTGCATTATGAGTAAGGTAAGTCAAAGCGAGAGCCTACTGCACATATCATTGCTGAATAACACTCCCGATATTGCAGCCAGTACGACATATTATTTCCAAATCGAGCGACGCTCGCTCGCAGGGGCACCTCCATATTTCCCCGCCGTCCTTACTCTGCCGGCCACGTGAACTAAAATTCCCCCTTGTAGAGAAATCGGGCTAACCTTTTACCGTGGCTAAAGCTAACCGACTACGAGCATGCGGGCACCAGGAGGTACCAGTCTTAATACACGGCTGCCATCCCCATGCCACATCAGTCAAGGGCTTAAACTAATCGCCGCAGACACATGGGTGGCATTTTTATATCATCGTTTATATCATCGCTAGAGCGCGAGGGAGTTCATGATCGAAGTGCACAGTGCTTGGAGTCAAACAAATATTGTTTTGTCGTTATCTGCCTCGCAGCATGCTGCGTGGTAATTTCTTACCATATGCGCAACGTCTTCTTATCACCTGTTCTTTATAGGATGAACCTCCTTCGTAGCAATTGACACCTGCAAAAATGTGAACTTTTGTTACTTAAAAATAAAATCTTTCAGCCTTTCCACTCTGGTAAAGAACGAAGAGCAGCGGAACTGTAGCTTCTGTTCTCGGCGGTGACTTTCGAGGCGAGCGATCTGCTCTTTTTTTTCGCAAGGAAATCTGAAGCGCTCGACGCACGCGGCGGTTGCAGACCCATTCGCGCACGCTGCTGCGTACGTCGCCACTCCTTCTGCACCCAGTCTTCTTGCCCCGAAGAAAGGGCACCCGGCCGACCCATCGTTAGTCCAAACCGAATCTGATAAGAGCGCAGAAAACAGCGCGTAAACGAGGACGAAGAAGAAACATACGTGACATGGGCAGCGCTCGTCACTTGCGTTTCTTCTTCGCCTTCGACTATTTTTCGAGCTGTTTCCTTCGACGAATTCCCACGAACTCGCCCAACTATTTATTCTTCCATGATAGCTGTAGAGTTCCTGTATAGTCTCCCTACGGGAGCCAGAGTTGCGCGTTTGATTCCACGCGTCGCGTGCCGCCCTCGCCGCTATTCGCCGAGATCCGATCACCTGAGGAGCCGTATGAAGTGTCGTGCAGCAAGGTAGACGTTGCACGCGCCCCGGCGTACGTTCCCCGGCTTTTCAGCGGCGCCTCGAACGCGCGGCGCTGCTATTCGCCGAATTCAGTCACGTGAGGAGCCGTATTCACATGCCATGCATGAACGCGCAACTCTGGCTCCCGTAGGGGACCTATACAGGAACTCTAGATAGCTGGAAAGGTTGCCGCCATCTATGAGTGACAGCGGCAACCAGACTGGTTACCTGGTTCCCGTTGTCGCTTACAGATGGCGCGTAGGTTTCTTTCGGCATTTCTTTGGTACCGCACACGATCCTCGCGAACCTAGCCCTTAACAGCTCCGCTGTAAAAAACGTAATATCAGAATTGATTACATTGTGGCGATATTCTACGCAGTCGTGTGACCATAAAGTATCCAAGATTTCTTATGCGAAGGCCGAATGAATCAGCAAACAGCTGTAAAAGTTGTGGTTCGTAAATTTTGGCTGCTGTAGCTGCGGATTTTTACGACTAAATACTGTCCATACTTAGTTTAATGACAATATAAAATTTAAAAACACTAAAAAAGAAAAATAATTTTTTTTTTTTTTTAATTTGCGCAAATACCGTTTAGAACGAAATTCTGGCGTTAATGACCTATGTAACAAGGGTTCGTTTTCCATCGCACGTAATAGAAGTTGCAAAAAAATACCGAAACACGAGCAGGGTTGACTTCCTCGACTCGCAGCCAGATCAAGCAGCAACGTCATCTGGACCCGATTAAATGCCACCACTGTTGATTATAGCCACGAGCTGGGAGTCGCAAAGCACAGGACACATTCTGAGTTCGAGACATTGTTATGATTCGGCTATTGTCACTGCACCGATTCGACACCGCCAACTACCGGAGGGCTCGTTCAGCTATTAATTATCGCAAGGCCAAGTCGAGTGCTCACACAAATCTCGGGTCCATTCTATGAGCATCATTCAAATATCGTCGCTGGGGTACTGCGACCCCCAGATACGTCATTAAGTCTTACGAAGAAGACATTGAAGGAAAACGCTCGCCTTCTTCCTTGAAATTACACCGTAACAAAAAAGTTTTTTGGTCAGTGGCGTTGCGTGCGAGTATACTTGGGTCTCTATCGTCCTTTGAAGGAGCGGTGCAACAGTATTCAATTGGAATGTTTTTCACTTCACACGAGCTCACTGGCACTAGTCGGACTTATGTATACTCGCACGCGACGCCACTGGCCAAGAAACTCCTTTGTTGCGGTGTCATTTCAAGGACAAAAGCAATGATATTCATTAAATCTCATCTTTGCGAAATTTGATGACGTAACGTGGGGATCGCAGTACACCCCAATGACAATATTGCCGTGCGCGCAGCTGCCCATGTAGGCAGCGCGCGCGTGGCCTAGCAGTTATCGCGCTAGCCTCCCACGCAGAAGGCCAGGGTTCAATTCCTGGCCGCGGCTACACATTCTTGTTGACACTGTAATGTGACGTTCTGGGGAATTCGAGAACAGTCTTGCTCGATTCGAGGTTAGAGCGTTCTATGCGCCGAACCTTCTACGCCAAACGATCCAGAAATCCACGAGGGTACATAAGGGATTCCGCAAGGCGAGCGGAGTCAATCTCGCCCTAGCGCTCGAACTTGCTGTTACGCCGACTTCGACGCCCGCGACGCTCTGTTCTTCTTTTTCGTGTACCCTTCTATTTCTGACACAAGTTCGCTACATTAAACGTTTAATTATTCCTGTTTATTTATTGCTTTTTCGGCCACCACCTGTGACAATATTTGAATGCGGTTTATCCATTGGACCCGAGCATTGCGTGGGCACTCGATTTGGGCTCGTGATAAATACTAGCTCGAGAAGAATTCGGGTAGTGGACCGTGTCCAATTTTTGCAACGACGACAATTGCCGATCCATAACAATGTCTGGAACTCAGCGCGTGTCCTGTGCTTTGACAACTCCAGCGCGTGGCTATGATCAACATTAGCGGCATATAATCGGCTCCAGATCACGCGACCCCATGTTCTGGCTACGAGTTGAGGGGTGAACGGTGCTCGTTTTTTTTTTTTTTTTTTTTTGGGGGGGGGGGGGGGACGTCTATTGCGCGGAGTGAAAAACGAACGCGTGTTTTATAGGTCATTAGACAGTTTTAGTATAGCGTTGCTGGCTCTTGCGTACGCAATACGCAATAGTATATCGTACGCTAAAAATGACCTTTTCGGACCGAATTTAGTTGTGCGTTACGTTTTTGAGTGAACGCCGCGCATGATCTTGGTTAGCGCACACCAGCTCGGAGCACGTGGAGCGAAAGCTCGCGCTGCAGAACCCAGGGATCCTGGGTTCAATCCCCACCCCTGCCCGTTTCGATCTGGATGAGCATCGTACCGGCGTGCGGTCGTGTATCACTACTGCGTGGTGCACGTTAAAGACCCCAGACTAGCGGTTGTACTGCACTGGCTAAATTGCTCATCTACAGCTGGGAGACTCGTCGCCCCTGTGAGGCAGACCAAGTTCTAGGCTGTATAAACATACACACAACCCAATTTTTTTTTTTTCTTTTTAGATTTGCTAGAGCTGCAGAATTCCGCGTGCTTATAGCCCAACCATGCTCCTGAAAAGAAATATTGAAAATGAAAACGTGTCCAATCATTTTATTTCAAATTAAACCAAGCCGCAGCTGCCTCGTCAAGCATGCTTTTCTGCGAGGTACAGAGGCTACGAGTAAAGGCCGGTTCAGACACTTGCGTTTGAGTGCGTTTGACTGCGTTGCATTGAGAACCGCAAGCGAGTCACCGGCACATCTGTGCTTCGTATGAAGCGTGCAATCCAATTCAAAGAATCATCCTAGCACACGATATAAGTAGCAGGGATGTCCTGGTTTCTCGCTGCCGCAACGCAGTCAAACGCAGTCAAACGCAACTGTCTGAACCAGGCTTAAGAGTGCGTAGCCAAATTCGAACACGGAGCCTCCGTCAATCGTCCCGTTGAAACGGTACCTTTTATCAATGCTATCGCGGAATGAAATTCATGACCCTGATGTCCAGTGCATACCGAGATCTTCGGCGATTTCTTTTAGAGTCGTTCGTCCGTCGGCGATGAACTGTGCGAATAGGCTTAGCGTTGAGCAGATCGCAGCGTTGTAACATATTCCGAGCGGCGAACATTTTCACTGTGCACTCCTTCAGCTGCACGACGATCTGATTTGACCGCGGTAGGTCCCAGAAAGAATTGCCGACCTGAATACCACGCTATTTCACGTAACACAGAACTTCGAAAACACCACGTCGCCCTTGCTGCGCCAGTCGAGGTAACCGCCATCTTGAAACTGGCGCTCTCGTTGGGTCCAAGATCTCTCGAGAGCGTCCCGCAAAGCCCGCTAGCCCGCCTCGCAAAATCCCCAGCGTTGCGTGCGTACGCAATACGCTAGCCCTTCTATTGCGTTCTGCGCAAGCGCACTCACGACCCGCAATTTTATTGCGTACGCAAGGCATTAGCGTACGATCTACTAAAACTGTCTATTAACGTGAGGGATCCGTTCTAAGCGGTATTTGCGCAAAGTACAAACATTGTTGCATCGCCCCTTTAATATCTAAGCTAAAATTAGAAGGTTCACCTTGAGCACGAGTTCTATGGCTTCTGCAGTGCTTTGGTTGCGCGGGCATGCGCGTTCGCACTTGTTTTAACAAGGGCAGAAAGCTCGCGCTAAAGGCGGAACTTTGAGTTTCAGCTTAGGAGTGGACGGATCACAGAGCCGTAAAGCTCGCATTAAAGGAGCGATGCAACTATTTTTGTACTTTGAGCAAATACCCTAACGTTAATGACCTATGAAACACGCGTTCGTTTTTCACCCCACGCAATAGAAGTCCCAGAAAAAAATTAAAGAAAAACAAGCAGCGTTCACCCCCTCAACTCGCAGCCAGAACAAGCGGCCACATGATCTGGAGCCGATTATATGCCGCCAATGTTGATCAGAGCCACGCGCTGGGGTTGGGAAAGCGCAGGACACGCGCTAAGTTCTGGACATTGTTATGGCTCGGCTGTTGTCGTCGTTGCAGCGATTGGACACGGGTCACTACCCGAATGCTTCTCGAGCTAGCAATTATCATGAGCCCAAGTCGAGTGCTCACGCAATGCTCGGGTCCTATCTATGAACCGCATTCAAATATCGTCACCGGGGTGTACTGTGATCCCCACGTTACGTCATCAAATTTTGCGAAGGAGAGATTAAATGAAAATTATCGCTTTTGTCCTTGCAATTACACTCCAACAAAGGAGTTTCTTGGCAAGTGGCGTTGCGTGTGAGTATCCTTGAGTCCCAGGTGTGCCAGTAAGCTCGTGTAAAGTGAAAAACATTCCACTTGAATATCGTTACACCGCTCCTTTAAGTGCAACACTACCTAAGCGAATATCGATGCGGGGCTCTTTAGTAGCTAGCGCTTTGGGACAAGGAGATCGCTTCCGTTGATACAGATAGAGGTTCCAGATGATATCTGGATCAAACTTAAAGTTCTTGCGTGAAATTATATCATAATAGACAGTTTTAGTGGATCGTACGCTAAAGCCTTGCGCACGCAATAAAATTGCGGGTCGGGAGTGCGCGTGCGCAGAACGCAATAGAAGAGCTAGCGTATTGCGTACGCACGCAACGCTGGAGATTTTGCGTGGCGGGCTAGCGGGCTCTGCGGGACGTTCTCGAGAGATCTCGGACCCAACGAGAGCACCAGTTTCAAGATGGCGGTTACCTCGACTGGCGCAGCAAAGGCGACATGGTGTTTTCAAAGTTCTGTGTTACGTGAAATTGCGTGGTGTTCAGCTCGGCAATTCTTTCCGGGACCTACGGCGGTCGAATCAGATCGCCGTGCAGGTGAAGGAGTGCACAGTGAACATGTTCGCCGCTTGGAATGTGCGTCAACGCTGCGATCTGCTCAACGCTAAGCCTATTCGCACAGTTCATCGCCAACGGACGAGCGACTCTAAAAGAAATCGCCGAAGTTCTCGCTATGTACTGGACATCAGTAGGTCATGAATTTCATTCCGCGATAGCATTGATAAAAGGTGCCGTTTCAAAGGGAAGATTGACGGAGGCTCCGTGATCGAATTTGGCTACGCACTCTTAAGCCTGGTTCAGACAGTTGCGTTTGACTGCGTTGCGGCAGCGAGAAACCAGGACATCCCTGCTACTTATATCGCGTGCTAAGATGATTCTTTGAATTGGATTGCACGCTTCACACGAAGCACAGATATGCCGGTGACTCGCTCTCGGTTCTCGACGCAACGCAGTCAAACGCTCTCAAACGCAAGCGTCTGAACCGGCCTTTACTCGTAGCCTCTGTACCCCGCAGAAAAGCGCGCTTGACGAGGCAGCTGCGGCTTGGTTTAATTTGAAATAAAATCATTGGACACGTTTTCCTTTTCAATATTTCTTTCCAGGAGCATGGTTGCGCTATAAGCACGCGGAATTCTGCAGCTCTAGCAAATCTAACCAAGATCATGCGCGGTGTTCACTCGAAAACGTAACGCACAACTAAATTCGGTCCGAGCAGGTCATTTTTAGCGTACGCTATACTATTGCGTATTGCGTACGTAAGAGCCAGCAACGCTATACTAAAACTGTCTAATATCAAAACTTTTTCTTCATGTTCTGAGTACGTAAGGGCTTGCTTTGAAGCATATTTATATAAAGACAATACGTAGGGTCAATACATATTAAACTCAGAGTAGTTGAGTTTTTGTTAAATAAAGACGTTTTTAGCCTATGAAAAAAACAAGCATGTTTGTTCATATTTCGTGCAGTTCAAGTGATTAAATAAAGTGTACCCAGTGGTCCAGTAACAAACAATGTGGAAAGCGATTCCCATCAGCAAACGTGGCAATAAACTCAATCTCACTTATTTTCGTCTTGCGAAATCTCTGTGTGCCCGTCAAATTCATGAGAACACATATTCTCACATTTCTCATCTTCTAGTCTTCAGCGCGGTTTTCAACGCGGCACAAAAGTTTTTATTTATCCGAAATTTCCGTTATTATACAAATCTGATATGAGCGCTTACAACAGCCACTGAGCCATCAAAACACGGCGTCTAGTCGCAGTCTCCCTAAATTAAGGGCGGCCCGCTTCGGACATTTCTACAATGGAGCATGAGCATACCTTGCTGCGATAACTGAATCGGAGCACCTGCACCGGATTGGAATCGGTCGCCTTGCCGTAGACAAAATAGTCATGAGCATAAACTTGAAGCTTGGGCGAGTTGGGACGGCATACTTTAAAAGATGCCATACCAACTCGCGTTTATGCTCACAACTTTTACTAAAAAGTCGTGAGCATAAACATGACGATGAATCTGATACAATTCCCTCGCAATTCACGCTCGCGATCCAATGATTTTATAAATAAGGATCCCAGTGGAACGTGTAAAGCCCAATAACATTGCAGCCACACTCGCCGCTGCAGTTTCTTCTGCTCATCACACAATTTCAGCGATTGTTCTTATTCCTACTAAACTTATATGTGCACACGACGGCGACGCAATGATCGCCAGACAACCATAGATTTTGGGAATTGTAACAAAAAAAGCACTCGGAACTAATTCACGCACGACGTCCGTCCCTAAACCCTTTCGCCAATACTCTTTGCGTTGCATACCCTGTGTCAGCGGGCAGTCCAAGAATGCACCGGGTCGAGGGTACGTTGGTAACGCGCTCGTATAAGGTTATGCAAAAAAGGTCTATAGTCCGATCGTCTCAAACAAGCCTGCGAACAACTTCGCCTTTTATAACGGTGTGTCATTTCACTCGCATGGCGCCGGCTAACTATTTGGGCCCAAGCCCAACGCTGAATGTCTTTCGGCGCGTTTACCGGACACGACGTCCAGCCAAACGTTGGCCCTCCGCTTCTGTCAATTTCTGTCTGCGCTCGATCTCAGTGTGATGATGCCTCTACTAAAAAACCCCGTATAACTTTTCAGTATCGGGTTTAAGGAAGTGGGAGTCTATCTGGATTCTTTCTGGATTTCAGGTTTTCGGAAATTATTCCTTTGCCTGCAATCTGGATTGCAGGTTCCCGGAAAAAAATGATGCAGTTAGAATTCTAGTTTCATAATCCAGAGAGTGAAAATTTACACTGGGTTTCTCGTTAACGATAAAAATTAAAATGCAGAGGCTTTGGGTTATGTTAAATGGGTCTATATAAATCGATATTCGAAACGGCAAGAAAATCTTGCAGTTATCTATCAGTACAGATATCACCAGCGCCCGGTTTCAACTTACTGCGTGTGCCGTGCACCATTCGCTTGGAACAATTAGATAACAATCGTAGGCACAACTTTCTATTGCACTGAAGCTAACGCTACATGCGCCCGTGTAATTGCGTTCATTTGAGCGCCACTCAAAGCTGTACACGCGCGTTCTCGACTTCTTCAGAAATATCCCGCGCCTCAGCATACGCGCTCACGGTGAGCGCGAACAATACATCTAAAATAAAAATAAGAATTACAAAAAAATTCGAAAACAAATGATTGTTAGCGTTTTGATAAAACGCGAAATGTGGTACGCTATCTGTTTTGTACGCTTTATTAGCGCTGGTGAGCAGATGCTGAAAGATACTTATGCGCCGTTTCGACATTTACCGAATCAGAACCCAGAGTGCTGTGATTTTTCATCGTTTCACAAAGTGAGCAAAGCACCCGCCATACACGGAACGTATAGTATCGCACCGGCCAGAAGATTGTTGTTTACAAAATGCTGGGCTTTGAAAATCGCACTGCTCAGCACGCGTCCTTCACAGCTAAGCACGCATCTCATGGTCAATTTGGAAAGCGAGCAAAGCACACACCGTAGGTATACGTACATGCACTGAAACTGGCACCCGATCTGAAGCCCTATTCTACCAACGACCGTGGCTTGTGCACAATCTAACGCTACTCATTGCAGGTTCGCATATTAAGTCTGAACTTAGTGGAAAAATTATTAAAAGCAAAAGTTACTGTGCAAAAATGTATTACAACACGCCGCCGCGTATCTGTCGGAAAGCGAATTTCATGCGACAAACAAGCGATGAATGTTGCCAAAGCCAATACATGATGTCAGAACATCAATTGATTGAGCTTTGTATCCACATGAATGATGCACATGCAAACGCTGGAAACCCGAGTGCACTGCCGATGCACAACATCAGCAAACAGTGAGTTCAGAAAGTACGTTTGAACGGTTTCAATTTAGTCCCAATCTTGGGGTCAGTCGGAAACCAGAGCCATTTCGCTGACCTGTGTCTCGCGCCGGCCTTTGACACCTGCCGGCCTTTGGTCCACCAGGGGCCACAGGCCTCTGGCGGATGTTGAGCGAACAAAATCTAGCTCCCCCCGATCGGCGGCGAACAACCCGTGGTGGCCCAAGCTCACCCCGAGCGTCCGACCTGCATACGCAGCGGTGAGCATGCCACTTTTTTGTTCTGGAAAGATTCTGCGCCATCTATGAGGAAAGGGCTGCAAACAAATCGCGAGTGAATCCCGCTTATACTGTATTCTACCTTATGATGTACCGTAGGAAAGGCTACAAGCGCGAGCTCCTTGCTCTAGGGCACATCTCGGCGGCACAAGTTCTCGCGCATTAAAGGCAGCTGCCAACGGTATGAGCTCGCGCTTCAAGCCTTCGCTGCGGTACAACATAATGTGAAACGGAGTATATTGACAACGTACACTCAAAAACGAGGAGTAATGTGTCGTTTTTTTTTTTTTTTTAGCGCCGCTTGAATCGGAATATTTGGCTATTAGTGTCGGCTTTGCTCGCACTTAGTCTGGAATGAAGTACATGGCGAGGTCGTGTGCAATTCGAAACATATGGCATGGTTACAATAAAGGACCTAATTTGGTTCTCAAAAACGTTTGCCACGGTAGAAATATTCTGAATTATTATGTATCTATTTTCCCATGATTTTTATAAAAATAGGTTAAATTAAAAACAATATATACAAAAATATAAAGAAACTAAACAATAACATTCACGAAACAACACATGATGGATAGGGAGTGTCCTTGCGCACTTTAGTAACGTGTCATATTCGGTGAAATAAGCTCCTCACATGTTCACAAATTATGGTAGGGGCTCAATGGGAAGATTAATACGTTGCGTTATTTTGTGAAAAATATATCTTCAATCACGACCTTTTAATGGACTTACCTGAAAAAATCAGAAGAGCCGCCTCCAGAAACACGAAGAAGTCAACCAAAAACATGTCGTGGTCTTGAACACAAATTTGAAAAGTCTTGCAGTAATGAGCGAAAAGGATTGATGTTATACATTTGTCGCAATCGTATCTCAGATTTTCCCCTCCATTTTTTCAGACAAGAGGGGGATTTTTTTTGCTCATGTGATATTTAAAAAGGGCGCATGTCGCTTCCTCCCGTAAAAAGGAAAGGTCATTCCATTGTTTCGTTTGATAACACCACGTCCTTTTCTCCTAAAAGTCAGCAGGCGAGTATTTTGCGTTGTGGGCAAAAGCAATGATTTTTCTGTACTGTCTATAGAAAGGTCATAGTTTAAACAAAAATCAACGTCGAAATGCTCTTTCGAGCTTGCCGATGTGACCTTCAAAGTCCACGATATATCGACTAAACCGCCAAATCCTTGAAGATACTTAGCACACGTGCCGCCATAGTGAAAACCAATATAGAAAACGGAGTTGCGACCACACAACTTACCAAGCGCTCCTCATCTCGGCAGATGCGGGCAGGATCTAAAGCGAGAGGCCGGTTTTTGTCGTTTATTCATCGCGAGAGATTTTAAATACCTGGTTCGGCGCTGCCTTCAGGCTGTGCTCTTGAGTGGCTGGCAGGAGTAATGACGCGCCGCCACCGTAGGTATTTGTGGCACCGCGGCGACTGGTCGCGCAGTGACAGGAGTTTCGTACGCCTTTAAAGATTCTGCTTACTCATTCGATTCAAGCAACAAAACTAATTTTTGCTTCAAGTCCGACTGAAGCCGATGCTACGATCTGACAAAACATATGAAGCAGCGCTAAAAGTGAATTGCCACAGCACTCGTCGTGTTCGAGGGTTTGCCTTCAACGGCTATAGTGATCACGCACATAAAAAAGGGCGGAATGGCGGCGCATTGACCGTCGATGCTTGGCTTAGAACGTGATAGCAAATGCACAAAGACGATGCCCGCCCTGATGGTACACTTTCGGTACTGTGTGTTTGGCTTTATAGAATTGCATGCGTCGGTTGCGGTCAAGCGTAGAGTAAAGTGGACTGTAAAAGGGGCGTCATTCTCCAATAAACCTCTTGCGCTCTGTCTTGTGAGCATCAATGCAATCATTATGTTGAAAAACCACCTTTGCAGGTAGATGCAAAACATACGCAGTGATGTCACTCCGCACTTCAGGTAAAAGTGCTAAATTTTGCGCGCTCTCGTTTTCGTGTTATCACAGATGGTGCTTTGTTTACGAAGTGCGGCAATTCATGTTTGCACCCACTATAATGCACCGAGTTCCGCGCTACGTACAGTCAAGTTTTAAAAATACGATGGCACAATATTCTCGCCTGAAAAGTACCACCTATTCCGCCTGAAGGTTCCGGAGGATCGGGACGGCACGCGCTCCCCTTTTTCGTATTTTATTTTGTAGTAACTCTACGTGGGGAGCGTTTTTTTTTTTTTTTTTTTTTTTTACTTAACATTGCCATTTTGTTTGCAGTCGGTGTAACATGCGTGCTAGTCGGCGATGTTGACGTGCTCGATGTTTGCATAATAAATGCGGTTGAAATCCTCTCGGTCTGGCCGATTCGTGACCAAAACCACCGTTATCGCCATAAATCGTTTGCGCCATGGTTTAAGTGAAGCTAGCGGACGAATAGAATAGACCGATTTCACTAAGCGGTCCGCACCTGCTTGGCGCCGCTATAACTGTAGTTCACTGGGGATGGGCGCCACTGCACGAGATGGCTCGTACCATCTCGTGCAAGGCTGGCACAGAGCTCGAGCGGATTTGTCTCGCGCGGTGAAAGACTACTGATCTCATGATTCATGCCGGCAGCGGCGGCGTGACAAAACCAACTGGTCAGGGCCCGTTTGCTCGAAACCGATTAATTTTAACTGCGGTTAAGCCCTTCCCTACTAGGTACCTACAAGTACCTAGCCAAGTTTGACGAGGGCTAGATGAGCGATAGCTCCGTGTTTTATTATGGGGTGGTAGCTGGTGTCACCTACTGGCTGTAGCGAATATACGTGGCTTCGGTGGAAAGGTTCCCGAAATAGGGGGACCCAAAAAAATGCGCGCTGCCTGGTTTTCGCGACGCAGCGTGGCATACATTTGAGCTTTAGAAACAATTTTTATTGCTCGTGGTACAAATAATCGGCAAGGTAAAACTAAATTAACCCTTGTTTGGAAATTTTCTAAATATTTGGCTGTATGAAGTGAAGAAAAGCCTCGTTGAAATTTCCTTGCGAGTTCGAAAGAGGACGACGAAGTTGTGTCCTAGAAACTATGACAAAAGAAGTGAACTGTGAAAGGCGGGCGGTACACCGGCAGCATGGTTGGCCAGCATGTAGGAACCGTATATAACACCGTCATAAATTGAAAAACCTGTAACTCGGCTCCACTGAAAAATGACCTAGTAGTAAATTGCCCGAACATCGAGGAGAACGCTGGAAGTGTAATTCTACGATCCGCGAGCGCTGGCCTTCCACTTATACAAGATTTGAAGTAAACAATCATAATAAATCTTTGACGAACGCGCGTGTACGGCAAAGTTTGTTTTAGGCGTTTTGCTTCAGAACAGATATTACTGGAGACGCTAGCAGGTGCCGCGCGTGCAACTACACTCGTAGCATGCACCTCGGTGCTTTTTAAATTTAGCAAAAGCTCTCTGGGAATGCTCTCTGCATTTGTGTGCTATCAATACCCGGCCGATTGGGTCAAGGACGTTGCCATGCCGACAACCATCGCGTTCATTTAGGCTTAGGAATGGCCAGAGTCGAAAGTCTATCTAAAAAATGCGGCGAGGTCATTGCTCATGTTTTGCATTTTAAGTGAGGTAAGGCAACGCGAAAACCTTCTGCACCATTCATTGCTGACTAACTCGCCCGCTACTGCAGCTACTGCGACGTATTAGTTCCAAAGCGAGCGGCGCTCACTCACCGGGGCACCGCCATGTTTCCCCGCCGTCCTCACTCTGCCGGTCACGTGACCCAAAATTTCCCCCTCGTAGGGAAATCCGGTTAACCGCGGTTAGTTAATCAGCTTCGAGCAAACGGGCCCAAGTCGGTCTGTAGACCGATCTTACCAAGCGTTTGGCGCATGCACGAGGCAGCCATAACTTTAGTTCACAGGAGGCAATCGGCCGTGCACACGCCTGTTCGTGCACTGCACGCGCAGAGCTCCAGCGAGGTTGTCGCACGCGCAGAGAGACTAAAGTTCCCTCGATGCATTGCGGCAGCGGTGGCGTAGTCGAATTAGCTGGTGAGATCGGTCTATTCTACATGGCCGAGAGAATCTTTACCGCCGCGTGTTGTTGGCCTGACGCATGCAATGACCTTCCGCCTCATAAATGGAAGTGTTAAAATATGCAACGCTTCTTTAACGAAAACCCCTAATAAAAAAGAGGTCCGTCATCGATGTTAACGCCATTAACGAAAAGGATCAATTGAGCTTTACAAAAAGGGCTATAAATATTCCTTAAGAAGAGCTCGGGGGAGAAGGGACAAATGTGGAGTTTTATGTTTGTGCTTTGTCTTAATGGTTCCCCTTCTTTGGCGATTATTATCGTCATTCTTGCTCCTCAATATATCCGTCTGTTCGTCTGTCCGTCTGTCCGTTTGACCGTCCGTCTTTATATTTACCCGCTGATTTAAGTGAGGAAAATGACGTCACGTTACCTTTCTTCACGTAACATGCAGCAATTAGGTTTTCTGGCTATATTTAGCGGAAACAGTGACGTCACTTGACCTGACATCACGCGACAAACCTTCCAGCTGATTTTAGCAGGGAAATAATAAGCATTATGTTATCCGCTCTCCGCAACGACTATTTAAAGACTTCTAAACGAAAGTTAACGAACGTCCCTTAAATACTGCAGTCCATATATTATAGAACTTTAATTCATTGGCGTGATTTTCGTTGCAATATACACAGCTATACGCCTTTTTAGTAGTGCACTGCGTCATAAATATTGCAAACAATTATATCACATGAACGAATGCAGATATTTCAGAATTAAGTAAAGAAGTCCATGCATTTTCTAAATGTTTGCTTTAAAAAATATCAACATCAAGTTTATTCAGGTCGTGGAAATGAAAAGAATAAAACAATTTTTACGCGACTAGAGCTTTGTAGGACATGTAATTATACACAGTTCAGCAGCGCTGTGCAACCAACAACAGGGCTAAAAAGCTTACGCAAAAACAAAAAATCACGCAACATCCATCTATCACACGGGAGTGTAAGACAATCAGTTTACATATTGTTTGATAGTAATAAAACGCCTTCGAATGTTGGTAACAATCATAAAAGACACGCATTAATTTTTTCGAACTCCCTCAATAGTGGATGTGTTTGTCTCTCTGATGCTGTTCCATAACACTGGGGAAACTCATGACGGCTTCACAAAAAAATAGCGAAATATCAAAAAGAGGACTGTGGATTCTTAGAATTGTTCACTTTACGCGTTTGGACGCCAAGAATACTTAAAGAGGTTTTGACAATTTTTGTGATAATCATTATTAAAAATGTCACTGTCTTAATATACACTCAAATCCTTAATTAGAGTCGCACGGCTAATAACAGCAGTTTCTAAAGCACAGCAGCATTGCAAACCGTCACGCTTTCTGCTGATCGAAATACCTAGTCCACGATTCGTTCAATAAAGGTCCATTAAAGATGTAAGCATATTCTCTACAGAGCAAGTGAAAATACAGCAACTTCTGCGATGATACTTGCTTCTAGCCGACATAAAAAATCCGAGTGGCAACATAGGCTCTCACCGAATTTCTATTGCCCACTTAAAAAGCAAATAGCAAGACGTGGATAACTTTGACTTTAACGACCATGCTATTCACTTGCCTGGTGAGAAGAATCAAAAATGCTGAAGAGCACCTTTTCAAAAAACGACCTATACAGTGAAATCCAGTCATAACGATATACGAAAACCCGAAAATGATGTCGTGATAAACGATTATCAGTGTATCTGCACTGCAAACTGATTGAAAATTACCATTATAGGCAGCAGATTTTTATATGTGGTATCGTTAAAAGTCGATTGCCATGTAATAGCTTAAGCTCGCTACGATTTTAAGTAGAAGTGTCCGGAAACAACTC